CATCAAACATGTTAAGAGTAAACAAATTCACTTGCTATATCTCCGCTTAGAAATTTAGAATGGCACCAGATAGTGCAAAGTGGAAAAAGGGTAGCATCGGCCCTGTCTTTTCCAGGTAGATAATGTTTCAGCAGAACCACGACGTGGAGAAGCAGCCTCTTCTTCCAGCCTGGCCAACTAGGGCTTTTCTTTCAGCTTCAAGTCAATGCTGTAAAGAAAAGAAAGAAAGAAAAGAGGGAGAGAGAGAGACAGAGAGAGAAACACGGCAAACAAAATGAGAAACATTTGCAATGATTTGGGTGGCATATGTGTGCTTTTTTCCTCCAAGGACTTAAACTGAAAATAAAGCATGCAAGCTTCTTATGCTAGAAAAATCTGCTAGAACACAATCTTCCCCTCGTTGCCAAGCTTTTCTCTAAAATATGGAATCTGTTTATGTTGACAAAATTGTTTCTGGAAGCATTTTACACCTTTTGAAAATGATTCAGGGAAACCAAAGACTCACGTCGCTCCTGAAGTCAATTACGATAAGCAACAGTATTGCATTTTAGAAATAAGAGATCTGTTTTGACTAAATGGTCTTTCTTTGCAAAGCCAATTAATGATCTGCCTGAAATAAGTAATATCTGATAGATGTTAAGTAAGAAGTGGTAAAGGATAAAACAAAAACAGAGAAAGGAAAAAAAAGAAAAGGAAAAGCACACACACACGCACACGTGTGAGGACGCACCACAGAAAACATTTTCTAGGAGCCAAAGGATTTGACTAAACGGGGTCAGCTTACCTTAATAAGATGGATCTTTACAACTAAAGAAAATCTAAGTTTTTTTTTTTGGAGACAGAGTCTCATTTTCTCACCCTCAGTAAGACTACGTGGTGTCACAGCTCACAGCAACCTCAAATTCTTAGGCTCAAGTGATTCTCTTCCCTCGGCCTCCCAAGTAGCTGGAACTACAAGCACCTGCCACAATGCCCGTCTATTTTTTTTCACAGACCAGGTCTCCCTCTGGCTCAGGCTGGTCTCAAACTCGTGAGCTCAGGCAATCTACCTGCCTTGGCCTCCCTGAGTGTTAGGATTACAGGCGTGAGCCACCTTGCCCGGCCTGAGAAAATCTTTAAGAATGTCTTGTGAGTTTCTAATTGTCTAGGGAATAAGTAAAACTCCCTCACATCACGTGTCTCTCTTCTGCTCCTTGTATACACAGCACAACTTCCTAGCACATCCACTCAAAAAGAAGAGAATTAAAAGCCAGCGAACAGTCAGAAGAATTTCAGTCATGAAGACAGAGAAATGATTTGCTGGATAATTTGGGAAGTATCTGTAGATTTTGCTCATCTATGCCCCCATGAACCACAGCCACGTTGCACAGGTCACTGTGTTTACTTGTGGAATTTGCCCCAGCTGAGCAGTATTCCTTCAAGTGGATTTCCAAATAAAGCCAACCCCCTGCTGCCTGCCCATGTAGTTTATAGTAGTAAAGAATCTTTCTTTTAAAATATCCTTAGCAATTTCTAGTGCTTGTTAGCTATGAGGACTTGGCCAAGTCATCTACCTTCTTTAAATTTCCATTTCTGTATCAGAAAGTGGAACAAGCAAGCCTGTCTTAAAGCTCGCTAAAAATTTACTCTAAAGTGTTTTCACTTGTACACAGCTAACATACTGTAATGTCTATTAGTAGTAATAGCAGTACCTCAGTATTTTTTAAAATGAGATAATATCACTTTGCTTAATAATTCTACTTGCAATAATCTTGTCTTATTTGGCAGGCCAACTCATCATCAATATTAATCTGTTTTTATGCCCTTAAGGATCTGATTTGCTCTATTGCCTTCAAAATTTTACTTTAGAGTTGTTCTCTTTTTATCCACTGAGAGTTCATAGTTTTTCCTACTATGCCTTTACAACATGGGCCATTTTTAATCTTGTTTTTGCTTCTAAAATGTACTTCCTGCCCGCGGTTATTCCTAGAAGTCTGTATTCGATCTGATTTGGTGATTGGACTTTTACTTTCTTCTCACGGTGTTGGCTCACTTTCTCTCACGAACCACGAGGCCATTTACTACATCTAAACTTGTGGCACATGATCTAAAAAGTGTAAGTGTAGGTCAGAGCACTGGAAATCATCTTGTGAAGTTTAAAGTGTACACTCACTGCGTTTTACCAGTGGAACCACTGATAAAAATCCAGACCACCACTTAGGCCGAGATGCTCATCACGACACACTTCACTTTTGGTACTGCCTTTTTTGTAAATTACGTAGGGTACAGTTCATCCCTTTAGTGGCAACCAAAAAGCTGAAAGACTGAAACCTATTTAGCAGTTTATAGAATAAACATGAGATAGTCAAAAGTGAACAACCTTCTTGTAAGTAAATACAGGAAACCATTTAAATTAATTTTTTTTAAAGAGGATTGATTTTTGAGACAACGATTATCCTGTGCTGTTAACGAAGCTCCTAACAATGCTGCTAATTTAAGTTTCCCCAAATAGGATCATTTATATATATATATATTTTTTTTTTTTTTTTTCTTTTCAGTTTTGCTGGGGCTGGGTTTGAACCCACCACCTCCAGTACATGGGGCTGGCACCCTACTCCTTTGAGCCATAGGCGCTGCCCAGGATCATTACATTTTTAAACATACATACAAAAATATAGAAAGGGCATGTTGTAAGTTTCAGGACATGAATGAATCAATGAGTGAATGAATAAAATCCAAACTTTAAAGTGAAAGAGACAGGCATCTAGAGCTACTTTTAAAAATAGTATCTCTTTTGAAATAAAATATTTATCTTTAACCAGACTTGAATTTTCTTCATCTTTGGGCAGATGAGCCTAGTTTCCTAGGGCCAACTTTGTAATGAGACAGAGCAATCTGATAATTTTACAATTCTAACACATATTAAATGAGGTCCCTTACAAAGTGTCTGACAATATTGCTTCATGGTGACTATGAGTATTTGCATTTTACATTTTATGTAGGAGGAGGCAGGAGATGAGTGGAACCCTGCCCTCTCTCTCTGAGGAAGACAAGAGGCCTCTACAACATCAGCACACTTTTTATTCTGGGCCCCACTGAGCCCCTTAAAAGAATCTTTGCTTATTTATTTTGTGGTTTGTTCATTCAATATCCAGCTGCAGAAGGTGTAAAATGCTTCCATGCAGAATTCTTACCTGGCCCTGATGGCTTACAGCAGACAGAAGCCAGAGGAAGGTAAATGAAGCCCTTCATTCTAGTACTAAAGAAAGCCAGAAATCCAGGCTGGGTGTTAGCCAGATACCATTCTCCCTCATCCCGGATCTCATTCTCCACACCTTAACCAGGTACCTGGTAAGGGCTTAGGAAAGAGAGCACCGAAGGAAGGGAAGCCCAGAGAAGAATAAGTTCTTCTGACAAGTAGGAAGTTACATTAACAATTTGCAGCACCCTCCAGTCCTCCATACCCAGTCCTAGAATGAACACGAACAGGAAGCAATGTTTTGCCCCCTCCCAACCAGAACAGCCCTACATATGAATGAAGAGCGAGACAGACAAGGCAGACGGAGGAGTGGGTAAGCCCCAAGATGTAGCAGCGCTCGGCCAGCAAGAGATCCGGCTTCCAGAAGGGCCTCCGTGCTACTCGGAAACCATGGGCACTGTTAGCTACTCCAGGAGGCTTGGTCTTGCTGAGTGAGGAAGTATTTGAAGTAAGCATTATGATAGATTGGGGGACTGAGATATTTTTGCTTTTATGTGGCAATTTGCTTGAAGTGGTTGTGTTGTGATCTCACAGAGACGCAACCAGAGTGACCATCAGGAAAACAGCTGTGTGGTTTCCAAGCTCCCTCGACAGCCTTTGGTCTGTGTGGACTTTTCAGGTGTGACTTCCTGTGGAGTTTCTGTGCCTAAGCTTCCTTGAAGCCATGGGTCAGCATGGCAACTGCAGAGACCCTGCACTGTGATTTTCCAACTCAGTCCTCAAGGGGAAGAAGTTCCAAAAATAACAAAAGGAGACAACAGAGAGACACTTAACTTTGACCTCTGCCTCTCCTACAGTCCTGGGGACAAGGACAATGTCAAATTCTCCATCTCTCAAACTTCACCACTCTTCTACCTCTCACTGGAAGGCAATGTTCTCTCTGAGAGCTTGCAGGTCCTTTAAACTGACCTGGCCAAGAATTAGCTCTGTTCTCTCAGCATGAAGACCACCTCTTCCTGAATTAAAAACCATGGGTTCCAGAACTGCACCGCCTGGGTTCAAATCCTAGCTGTGGGCCATCCTCACAGCTGTAAAACGCTGACCTGGCCAGATAATCGCTCTATGCCTCTCTTTTCACATCTATAAAATGTTCCGGGCGGTGCCTGTGGCTCAGGGAGTAGGGCAGCCGGCCCCATATGCCCGAGGTGGCGGGTTCAAACCCAGTCCCGGGCAAAAACTGCAACAACAACAACAACAACAAAAATGATCCTTGTAAACTTATTTTGAAAATTAAAAACAGACACTGCGTGTGAAGCTTTGGACAGACAGTCTGGTACATGGTAGGAATTTGTTACATGTCAGATTTCTATTTCTCAAAGGTGGGACTCATCCAACTGGGTCACTCCTAGAGTCTCATCCAGACTTGACTGCCTCCTGGATTTTGCAAAACAAGGACATTTTCCCCTCAATCTGCCAAAATATTCAATTCAAATGGAAGTTCCAGCTTTCACTAATTAAAATGGATGATGTCATGCAGAAAGCAGAGTGGCCTCTCTCTTGCCCACGTGTTCTGACATCTGGCCCTCACATTCATTGTCTCCTCGCTATGGGGCTGGGAAAGTAGAAGGTCACGCACATGCTTAGGTTATCCTTAAGAAATGTAAGTGGTGGTCGTGAACAAAAGAGTGTGAAGCTGGCAAATTTCTCTTCCATGAAAGCTGCACATCTCAATGAGGTTTACCCAATCCTTAGAGTGACTTTTTGTTGGAGAGCCCAGCCGTACAAGACAAGTATACACATAGCTGTTAATGATGGTGAATTCTTACTCCTTCTCCATAGAAGACATTTCGGGATCATTGTAAAGGCAGCTAGTTCTGAGTGCAAGGAGAAAACAGGAAGCAGTCAGCTCTCTACTGTTAACTACTTTGCAAGCACAACAGACCTGGGGCCCTTAAAACTGTTTAATGAAGTCTGATTGCCAATACTGAACAAATCTGCACCCGAACCGATGATTCCTTAACCATCAGTTTTGCAATACTGTGACTACCCACGATTTAGAAACACAAAAGATTAAAAACTCCAGACACTTCTAGTGGTCTTTTTCTGTCCTTGTCATTTTTTCTTGACTTTTCAATCTATCTGATTACTATTACTGGGAGACAGTGATAGTATACAATTTTATTTGCACCTCAATAAAATACTTCACACACCAAGGAAAATCCCTCTCAAGCAGCCTGATTTTATTTAAGCATGAACATAGTTAACTTTCACTTTTCCCAATGAGGATTTCCCAAAATAAGATGCCAGTATCAGCTCTCCCTACTGTCGCTGTGACAGAGAAATAACAGGACGCTTACCAATCCATACAGCGGAGCTGTGTTCAGGTCATACAAATGAATGCTAATAGTGACCTAAACTGGGTATGTCCAGTAAGAAACATGTAGCTGTATAAAATAATGAAATAAAAGTTTCTGAATGGTGTTTATACTTTTGTGTGTATTTTTGATATTTTATCCTGGTGTGATTCCTCTGTTAGGAAGTGTCAAATTTGCTGCATATTAATTCCTCATGAATACTTAGGACACTCTAACTCTTCCTACCCCCCGACCCTCCAGCCCCCGGTAAATATTTCCTTCTTGGCAAACAAACACTATTTTAAAGGCTTCTGTGATCCTTTTCAAACGCAAGCATTCCTTTTGTGATGTGAATAATTTCATAAGCTAATTTATCTGTTTGTTCAGTAGAGGTTTTCCACGATGACAGCTAGGTATTTTGCGGAAGGTGGCAGAAGGCTGTCTCCCCAGGCAGGTCGGTGGCTTCTCCTTCCCTCACTCCCCACCCTCCTTGCTGGTGGCCTGGTATTTTTATAGGCTCTAGTGAACTAGGATAGTCAAGGAAGTGTTGACAGTGTGCTAGAAAAATCCAGCAAAGCTGGGACAGAATCAAGAAAGGGCAGTCTTCCAAACCCAGCTTTTCTGCTTTTTAACTTCGAGTAATCCTCCAAAAGAAGACAGCAATTTGCAAACCATTTAACACTGTCATTTCAAAGGCAGCAGATGGATACTTCCTCATTTTCAAAATAAGAATGCACACTATTCATCCTTCAGAAGTATTTTCTTTCTTGCAGAGATCTAAGGTTTTAAAGAAAAGATAAAGCAAGCTGAGGAAATCACCTTTGAAGTCAACTGGAGGCAGGATGCAATTTGAGTGGTGGGGCGTGTGTACATATATGGAGGGGAGAAGCAGAGTGCTAAAAATTACTACTAGAATAAAGCAAAATGAGGGATATGTTTTATTCCCTGACCAAATCTATATTAACCTTTGGTTAGACCCAGCCTGAAACTTTCTTATAGTCATGTGGAAAGTCAGGCACATTTGTCAATAAAAAGAACCTGGGGAAATCTGTCTTCTAACCCCAGATCTGCGGTGATGATGTTTTCTGAACACAAAATCATCATATAGAGTCTACCCTAGAATTTAGGGGCCATTTCAGAGTCTGAAAGGTAGATGAAAAGATGTTTTTGGTCCAAGATGGTAGGAGTCTGAGGTATTCCGATCATCTGTGGGGTCAACAGAGTAGAATTCTGAGTGCAAGCGGAAAATGGGAAGCAGTCAGCTCTCTACTGTTAACTACGTTGGAAGCACAACAGATCTGGGGCATTTAAAACTGTTTAATGAAGTCTTATTGCCAATACTGAACAAATCTGCACCCGAACAGATGATTCCTTAACCATCAGTTTTGAAATACAGTGACTACCCATGATTTAGAAACATAAAAGATTAAAAACTCCAAACACCTCCAGTGGATGTCTACATTTTGAAATGTTTACATATATGTCAATTCCTTGACATATGATGTCACCATCAGAAGTAGGATCAATTGGGGGAGGATTCTTCAGGCTGATGGCTTACCTACTGAACCGAAAGCAAGAGAATGGACTCTGAAGAAAAGTTCAATTACTGTTATTCAGTCCTTCACTTTCAAGCACTGGTTCTCAAAGTGTGGTCCTGAGACCAGCAGCATCAGTGTCACTGGCAACTTGTTAGAAATATACAGATTTTTAGGCTCTGCTTGGACCTGATGAATCAGAATCTTTGTGGGGTGAGGCCCAGGATGTTGTATTTTAACAGGTGCTCCAGCTCATGGTGATAAACTTTGAGAACCACTATTCAGCCACAGCCAACTTATTCTTATGCACATTCAGTAATTTATGCATCATAAATGTACTGAGCATCTACTCTGTGCTTGGCATGAGCATAGCATCTTTTTTAAGGGGGAGATCAAGACTTTTCAGGACCATCTGAGCTATACAGATACCTGAGGGAGGGCGGGAGGAGGGAGGGAAGAGAATGAAAGGATGTTTGCATAAGGTTGTTACATTAGGTACAAAACTGGTTAATGCCCAACAGGGCACAGGATTGACTTTCTTATCAGATGGAAATGATTTGTCTCTTTGCTGGACAAAAATCTGCAAGCTAATCTCTGCTCCTACAGAGCTGTAAAATAGCCCACAATCAATAGAGAGCCAGTCTAGCTCTGCTCTGAAAAAATGTCCAGTCATTTTCCTTTTCTTGTTTCCAAGTAACAAAGAAGTTTTCTAAGAGAAGAAAAGAGAAAGCTACACAAATAAGCCAAAAAATAGTAATTGTTTTACTATGGTAGCTAAGGAGGGAAAGTTTACATATAGAAGGGAAAAAAATCTATTGAAGGAGGCAAGTTTTCATGATACTATTAAAATCAAGCAACATGACTTTATATTGGGTTTGGATGCAATTTTTTTTTTTTTAATTTTTGGTTTTTTTGAGACAGAGTCTTGCTTTGTTGCCCTCGGTAGAGTGCTATGGTATCACAGCTCACAGCAACCTCAAACTGTTAGGTCCAAGGGATTCTCTTGATTCCGCCTCCCAAGTAGCTGGGACTACAGGCTCCCGCCACAACGCCCGGCTATTTTTAGAGACCTCAGGCTGGTCTCGAACTCCTGAGCTCAGGGAATCCACCCACCTCGGACTCCCAGAGTGCTAGGATTATAGGCATGAGCCACTGCACCTGGCCTGGATGAAAAATTGTTGATGTTCCCTCCTACCATCTTTGTTTTGAAAATAGCTCTTTAATTCCATAAATATATTATCATTCCTAAAAAAAATAAATCTGAAGGTGGAATTCATTGAGATTTCTCTCTGTGGGGAATCTCATGACACAAAGTGATCTGAGTGCAGAGAAGTGCTGAAGGGGTAGCTCACACCAATATTCAGTTTCTGGATTATTAAGATCCACCTTCCTTCCACACCTTCTTATTTATAACAGCTGAGTTAGACTCAGAAGATCCTGCCAGAATAAAAAAATTAATATTTTGAGTTTTTTGTTATTCTAAATGGGTGTTAGTTATCTGGAAAGAAAATTAGAAAGACAGAAATGGTATAATAGTAAACTACACTAATTCTCAATCTTCTATAGCAAAATCCTCTCCTCCAGTTTTTAACATAAAGGATCTATACTATAACAAGTATTTCTACAAGTTACCTGCAATACCAATGTACTGGAGGAAAAAAATATCTAAATGGAGCATTTTCATGATAAATTGGCATTTAGAACTATGCAGAAAATGTTCGCTATTTGGATCTTGTTTATGTGGAATTTGTAGCTGTTTGGACATTGTCCAGGCTTCTGCTTTTGCAATATCTGTTCAAACGAGAGCTGGTTATAAAAATTAAGAGCGTAAGCAACATTTAAAATGGAGAAGCTCAAGGAACTTAATACAGAAAACGTTCCAAATAGCACTTGCTTATATTTAACATGTCGTGTCAGAAAATGTCTTTGTGACTTGGAAACAAGAAAAGGAAACGACTGGATATTCTTTCAGAGATGTGTTAGACTGGCTTTCTACTGGTTGGCTATTTTACAGCTCTGTACAGGCAGAGATCAGCTTGTAGATTTTTGTCCAGCACAGAGGCAAATCATAGGAAAGCCTGCCTAGGTCCTGTTAGACATTAACCAGCTTTATTTCTAACCTAAGACTCTTATCCAAACATTGTTTCATGAATTGTTTATGAATATCTAGCTTCTCAAATGCCCTTTGAGCCGGATTTAACACCTTACTGATTCCGTCAATAAAATTAGTTGAACAAATCATTGCCATGCGCTCACTGTAGATTCGCAGGAGAGCGATAATTTTGCCTTTTTGAAAATCATACTTTAAGAATAGGGAACAATGACTTTGTTGCCTATTCATCGAAATACCTCAGAGGCTATTAGGTAAGCAGTATTTTCAAGTCACAAATAAGGTGTTTGATGTTTTAAAATTTGGAAAGCCATGAAGTTGATTCTATGAAAGTCTTGCGAACTTCAACTTGCTATGATTTCTCCCCACTAGTATGAATGAGTGAGGTTCTGTTGCCTCAAAATATCTGATGATCACCTGGATGTTACCGTATGTGTATCAGTACTGTGATGTGCTCTTTTGTTGTGGTGCCTAGAATGGCATGTACATTAAAAAAAATCAAACAATAGTCACAAATGCTTTCCTCAAGATAACCAAGGTCATGGGGGAAAAACAGATTGTCACCAGAATAACAGAGATTGCATTTACCATAGGCGAGTTCTGAAAGTGTAGCATTATTATCAGGATGCAGGAATAAAACACCAGGCATGCACATTCTCCCAGTACATTCCTGAAATGCAAGCCAACATCATGCCAGCTGCTAAATGAAAACCAAGTCTTACTTAGCTGATTCTGAGGCTTCTCTCAGTTCTTCATCCAGTCTGCATAAGCAAAAATTATTGTGGTAGAAAAGAAACAGAAAGGAAGCAAGCAGAGCGTGAGAGAGTCACTCAGCAAAGCAGAGCCAAACATAAGTGGCGCATATACGCTTTAAAAACTGTCCTCTGGAGCACTGAGACACACTCACTCCTTCAATGAAATATGGCGCCCATTCTTCCCATTCAGTTCTTACGTGCGTTTACTTTGCAAATTCCTTCATGAGAGGTAGATAGAAAAGTTGCAAGGGGGTCAGAAACATGCTGGCTGAAGAAAGCTGAAAACACCCATGTCAGTCTGTTGGGTACAGTTAAAGTGAGCTTGCAGCCTGGGCCAAGTCAGGGCTGTCTGGTTTAGTAGGTTTCAGTTGCAAATTAGGTTGACCTCAACAGCTTTACACATAGGACAAAGACCACGAATGGTATATACAGGACTGATGCGATGACCTCTCGCTCCGTAGCATGTTGAGGTCACCCGTGAGTAAAACATGGTGTACACACACAGAGGGGTCAGCGTGAATTGTAGATCAGGAGATTTTACCTCACGCTTCTCTTATAAGATCTCTCTTCATCGTACCTTACGAAATAAAAGATGAATGTCATGAGGAAAACGGGCACACAGATGGAAGAAAAATGACAGGTAAATGTTTTAAACAAGGGTCAAAACACGAGAGAAAAAGCCTACACAAAGACGGTCACGTGCCACATAACAACGGTTGGGTCAACAACAGACCACATATATGACGATGCTCCCATAAGATTATAAGACCATATTTTTACTGTACCTTTTCCGTGTTTAAGCATGTTCACATACACAACTGCTTAACTATTGTTACAGTTAACGACAGCATTCAGTACAGTACCATGTTGAACAGGTGTGTAGGCTAAGAGCAGTAGGCCGTGACACACAGCCTAGGTGGGTTGTAGGCTATGCCATCTAGCTTTGTGTAAGTGAACCCTGTGCTTTGCTTAGGCGCAAGTTATACTGCTGTGGCCACAAGTTCAATGTTCATAAATCCACAATATATACCTAATAAGGCATTTTAAAATAGAAACACAGATGAAGCAAAGTGACATATTGATCAACTGATGAACATACTGTGATCAGAGTCTTGTAGGAATCTAACCCTATATTTTCCCTTGGAACATAGTTCTGTATGTGTTAATTAAGTGTTTGCAGTGACCTTAGAGTCTATAATGGCCACAGATGATAAGAATCAACTATAATCAATGATTAGAAATCTGATTTGAGGTTGGGCCTGTTGTTGTTTTTTTTTTCTTTTAAGCCTTTTGATGACCATCTTAGCTGAGTCCTGGTATTAGGATTGACTGAGATCAGATCCTTTGAATGTTATTCAGTAATGAAATGAAGCCATGGCTTAATTTGAAATTTGCAGAATGTGAAATTAAGGTAATGAGGACCAGTGATATAAATGGCAGAAAGGACACCTCAAGGAGACAAATTATGGAAAATGGAAGAGAACATGGACATGCTGGGAGAACACGAATGATGCTAAATTTCTTCCTCCAGAAGAGAATCTTTCCAAATGGAACTCTTTATCCCGAAGTAACTTTTCCCAAATAGAGCCCTTGGAAACTGATGTGTGTAGATGCGTGAAAAATGCCCTGGGTATATTTAACCTTTCAGTTGAATTTCCCCATTTAATAGTGAGTCTCTAAAAGCAGAGTGATCATAGTAAATAACATTCAGGTGGCCAGCCCTGTGCTTGGGAGGCTTTGCGAATGCTTCAGGTGCTGTGTTCTCATTCAGTCCTCAGGACTGTTCCATGAAGTGCAAATTACGTCCCCATTTTACAGATGCTGAAACTGAGACTCAGAAAATTTTAGTAGGTTGCCTGAAGTCTAAGAGACATTGAAAGGTGGCAGGGAAGGTTCAAATCTAAGTCTCCAGAGACCACTCTCTTTTTACCTATTGTTATCTGTCCTACCATGGAAATGTTACCATGATGACCTGGAAAGTGGGCAATGCTCAATTCTACTGGAAGAGAGAACATCCTTGTGATCTTTTGCAAAGGGAGACAGCATTTTAGGAGGTGAGTGCTGCAGTACATTTTTTACTTAAAAAGTAGGAGTGGATTTTGGACAGGGTGCACACCTTTTTCGAGGCAGCAGGCCAGAGCTATAAGGTGTGCTGACTGTGGGAACTCTGTGGAGCTAAGGAGGACTGAAACTGTCATGAGGATCTCATAAACACTCTAGTTGATTCAGCGGGACCAACTGACCACTGTAAGCCCAGTCTCCTGTGTTCATGCCTGATATTGGTATATAGAAAAACCCCAAACGCATCTACTTCTGAGCTTTGAATTTAGAAGGACACTTAAAGGGAGATAGAGAAAACTTAGCAGTTTCTAGAAACTTAGAAAAGGAGTGAGAATTTTAGTGCCAGGCTGACCTGAATCTGAGTTATAGTTCCATCTCTTCCTGTTTCCAACGTACACTTAGAACAAGTAATTTCTTGTTAAGTTATCTTCCCTGAATCTGTAAAATGGTTCCTGCATCTGTAAAATGGTCCCTGCACCTGTAAGATGGGGCTTAGTTAGGGTGGCACCTGTGGCTCAAAGGAGTAGGGAGCCAGCCCCATACACTGGAGGTGGCGGGTTCAAACCCGATCCGGGCCAAAAACTACCAAAAAAAAAAAGATAGGGTTTGTCATGGGGGTTCAACAAATGATACAAATAGAGCATCTTGATGCCCAGCATTTCACAGACACACATCAAAGGAGAATCTTTTCTTTCTGGTGCCCATGTCTCTCTGTGTGTGTAGGGTGGTTCTTTTGAAAACCCAAGCTGAGATCCATTTTGGTATCCATTTCATGGGTAATACTGTCTTTTTTTCTTCCAACAGAGTTTCACTCTGTCGCCCTGGGTAGAGTGCCGCGATGTCATTATAGCTCATGGCAACCTCAAACTTCTGGGCTCAGAGTTCCTCTTACCTCATCCTCCTCTAGCTGGGACTATAGGTGCCTGCCACAGCATTTAGTTTTTCTACTTTTCTACTGTTTTTCTACTTTTACTAGAGATGGGGTCTCACTCTTGCTCAGGCTGGTCTCAAACTTCTGAGCTCAAACCATCCACCTGCCTTGGCCTTCCAGAGTGTTAGGATTATAGACATGAGCCACTGTGCCTGGCCTTCCCAGCCTTGTCTGTTTTCTTTGAGCTGATGGTTAAGTCCCTCTCAATTCTAATCAAATAAAAACTAGTGAATTGGACACAGTGGAAATAAAAATATGATAGGTAGAAAACAAGGGTTCTGGCTTGGCACCTGTGGCTCAAGTGGCTAAGGCGCCAGCCACACACACCAGAGCTGGTGGGTTCAAATCCAGCCTGGACGTGCCAAACGACAATGACAACAGCAACACAAAAAATAGCCGGCTGTTGTGGCAGGCGCCTATAGTCCAGTTACTTGAGAGGCTGAGGCAAGAGAACTGCTTAAGCCCAGGAGTTGGAGGTTGCTGTAAGCTGTGATGCCACGGCACTCTACCCAGGGTGACAGCTTGAGGCTCTGTCTCAAAAAAAGAAAAGGGCTCTTTGTGACAATGTACCAGCTAGGAGAATTCAGTCTCCAGGATCCATTTTACAATCCCAGCTCCAAGTACTTGTTTAGTTAACCTTTATGCTTATTTTTGCAGCATAATCCTGAGACCTGTAGTACCCATGCAAGGATGCTGCGACTGTGTAACCCTGTACGCAGGAGTAGGGAAAACCTTTCCTATCCACCCCACCCACCACTGGGCAGATACTTTCTACCTAATCTTACACCTGAAAGGACTCATGAGAGAGAACAGGATTTGGGGTGGTGCCTATGGCTCAAAGGAGTAGGGCGCCGGCCCCATATACTGGAGGTGGTGGGTTCAAACCTGGCCCCAGCCAAAAACTGCAAAAAAAAACCAAACAAAACCCCCCAGGATTTGTAAGAGAGTTATTTCTTTGTTTTCCAGATAAATTACATTATATAAGGCAATAAAGAAATCTGAGCAATACTAAGATCCTATTGTGTCTGTGCAGAGAGAGGGACACGAGTAACTAATATGCTGGTTAATGTTAAATTTGTGCATTCCCCAAGGTGGTAGCAGGATTCACGGTAATCGTGAGCAATCAATAATACCAGGAGAAGATTATGGGAAAGAGGATCTGAAAGAACAGAATAATTATCTATAGGTTATAGGAAAAAAAAAACTCTACTTATTGGAGAAAATTTAATATTGTTTTAAAAATAAGATAAACCATTTTTTTAGTGTTCCAGAATAGAGTTGTTTCCCAACCCCCTCTTCCAACATGTCCTATTTCTTAATGAACCTGGAAACCATCGGGACTCACTTGATGATGCTCTCTGGAATGTGGATGCAATCCATCGGGATCAGCCCACTGAGTTCTGACAAGCTACTGACATATTTAATTTTACTGCTGAATTTTGAACTAAAAAAAGAAAAAAAAACATATCATTAGTTGTCACTTCATCTAAGGCCATTGCCTTTTCTTCAAAATCCTGATCCACTTAACACTTTGCCCCAGCACTCTTACCAAGAAGAAAAGCTAACATTATTCCAATAGTCACCCTGTGCCATACACTATTTTGTTGCTGTTGTTTGGGGTTTTAAAAAAAATTTTTTTTAATTGACAAATAAATATTACATATATTTATTGTGTACGACATGATGTTTCAAAATATGTCTATATTGTGGAATGGCTAAATTTAGCTAATTAAAATATGCATTACTTCATGTACTTACCTTTTATGGTAAAAATACTTAAAATATAATCTCTTATCTAAATCTATTACCTTTTCAAGGATACGACACATTGGTGTTTTTTTGAGACCGAGTCTCATTATGTCACCCCTGGCAAACTGCTGTGGCGTCCCAGCTCACAGCAACCTCAAACTCCTGGGCTTAAGCGATTCTCTTGCCTCAGCCTCCCAAGTCACTGAGACTACAGGTGCCCGCCACAACACCCGGCTATTTTTTTGTTGTAGCTGTCATTGTTGTTTAGCTGGCCTGGGTCAGGTTTGAACCTGCCAGCTCTGGTCTATGTGGCTGGTGCCTTAGCTGCTGAGCTACAGGCAGCGAGCTGACACGTTGTTATTAACTATAGCCACTATGTTGTATAACAGCTCTAGAACTTACTCTTCCTGTTTAACTGAAATGTATTCTTTGACCAGCATCTCCTCAACCCTATCCCTCGCCTCCCAATTCCTGTAGACACCATTCTTCTCTCTATTTCCATGAATTCAACTTTTTTAGATTCCACATATAAGTGAGATTATGCAGTATTTGGCCAGACACGGTTGTAAGCAGTTCATAAAAATTAACTTGTGTATTTCTTATCATAGCCTAGGTACAAAGTTAGGTACAAAGACAAAGAAACAGAGACACAGGGAATTAAGTGTTCGCCCCACCACGTCTCACCATTAATAAGTGGCCGCACCTGTTATTAACCTGGGACATCAGACTTCAGAGGCCACATACACTCTTGACTATACATCACACAGCCTCCCAAAGATTTCCACCACTCTGGCTTTACTTGCTATTTATAATAAACAAATATCGTCCAAATATTTATAACAAACAGAATCTTATCATTAGTCATTTCAAAATTTGCCAAGGTTGATGATATTTTGAAAATATATGTGGACTAATTTTTACCTTATTTCATTAGTTTCAGTTTTACCTACATTTTTATTTTATTTTGTTTTAGGGTTAAGTTTGAAAGTTCATTCCATATGGACCAGCATTCAAACATATGTTCCAGGAAATGGGTTTGAATTATAAACAGCTTTCATCCGAATGTGATCATTTTAGATGAGCGTAAATGCATAGAAAACAACGTGGAAGGATACTAACAAAACTGATAGAAGAATTGGTCTCTGGGGAAGGAGGTTAGACACAGGAATTGGTCATTGTTAAAGGAAAAATTTAGTCTTATCTGTAAAGATGGGGTGCATTTCTGAAGAAGGCACTTCCTTATTATTTGTGTAATTGCAAACTTACTTTTAAAATGTATCATTCTGCTTAAAAGGGAACTTGATCAAAGATCTAACATTTTTGAACGATAGGAAATAAAAAGACCTCTCTAGTCTCCTGGGATTGTGCTAAGCTGTCTGCCAACTGCACTGCCTGTGTTCAACTATGGGCTCTTATAGATGAAACTGTAGAATACAGTGGTTAAGTACTTGATGTGGGTATTCTTTAGAATTCACAGCCTGAGCCTATCATTTATTGGCTATGTTGCCCTTGACTGTGAGTTGGTAAACTACAGCCCATGGGCTGAACCCAGCTTACTGTCTCTTTTTTTACAGTCCTTGAGCTAAGGAACAGTGTTAAGGCTAATTAAGGCTTGATTCACAGGCCTGGCGTCATAGCTCACAGTCCCGGGCTCAAGTGATCCTCTGGTCTCAGTTCCTAAATAGCTGGGACTCAGGCACCTGCCACAATATCCAGCTAGTTTTTAGAGAGGATATCTCGCTCTTGCTCAGGCTGGTCTTAAACTCCTAAGTTTCGGTTTCTGTGTTTTTAAATGGATGAAAAAATACCCAAACAAGAATATTTTGTGATGTCAAAAAATTATAGGAAATTCAATTTCAGTGTTCACAAATAAAGTTTTATTAAAACATAGTCATGTGTTTGTTTACCTGCTATCTATGGCTGCTTTTGTTCTATAATCGCCGAGGTAAGGCGCTGTCACTGAGACCTAAGAAGCCTGAAATATTTGCTGTCTGAGTCTTCACAAAGTTTGCTGGCTCCTGTCTAAGACAATTTATTTGACTTCCCTGAGCCTCAAAGTTTTTCCTATATAAAGAAAATAGTAAACAGTATCTGCTTCAGAGAACTGTCATTAGGTTAAATTAGATAATGCTTATAAGCATTCAATAAATGTAAGCCATTATTAGATGTAATTTACCACAACATTATTCCTATATTTTTATTATTGCTGTTGAAACTCACTTCAATAGTGTTCAATTATAATCATTTTTAAATATACTTATAGTAACAAATGTTTTGTTATTGTTAACATAAACCAAATTTGGCCAAGGTAGCAAACTGTAACCTAACTTGGTATATAAACAAACTGTACTCTAACTCAGAGGGTATTTCTGCAATAAGTCGCTGAGTCTCAGCCAACCACCAGAGCTAAGCTTTAGCCAATCATAGGAGCTAAACTTCAGCCAATCACAGGGCTGCCAACTGATCAGACTATTAGTGTAAGGCAAATGCCTCCCCAAATAAGACAAACACCCAGCTGTAACCCATCTAGTTATTTTGTAGGTCACTTCCTTTTCCTGTCTATAAATACTGCCTGACCACACTGTTGGGTGGTACTTTCTTAGCCGCTCCTGGTTCTGAATGATGCTTGATTCATAAATCACCTTTTGCTCAAATGAACTCTAATTGAACTTGTCTTAAGTTTATCTTTTAACTTTATTTATCAAGAAAAAACATATTTGATTTTAGAATTACATGAACTTAATTATTAAGCAAACACTGATGAATCAATAATAGTGCTAATGTTTGCATTTTTAACCATTAAGCTTTTATAAGCTTATCAGTACACATCAATTTCTACTCCCTTGTAAAAACATTTCCTAAAATTATTAAAAGAAGTGGCTTAAATAGGTCATAATATTTAAAAAAAAAATTCAACATAGTATGGTAAAAAGCTAAACTTTGCTGGAGGAAAACTAGGGTGACTCCTGCTACTCAGTCATTGGAAGTAGGGAGTAAGATTGCTAAATAAATATAAGTGAACACAGAACAAACTGGGCAAAATCTGGAAGGTACAATAAAATCTATGTTGCAAGAAGGATATTAATGTTACTTTTTTTCTCTCAAAGTGATCAGAATTTTAAAAAATTCATTAATAACTTTGAGATAGGAAAATTCCAATTTATCTAATCTGTACCCTCAAGTACGCAAGACTTTATTATATTATATTTTTAAAGCTCTCTGGAAAATAAATCTTATTCCTTTAACTGTTTCAAGTCCTACTATGTTATGAATGATATCTTACATTACTTTGTATCTTCATAATCTATAGTTACATAGAAACTGACATAAAATAAATAAAGTATAAATATTCACCAAATTAAACTGAATTGAAACCAAGAATCCTCAGGGGTGATCAAAACACAGCTCTCAAAATGGCTGTTGAGACTCATTCCCTAACTTTGGTGACCTACACAATATTTGTTCAGAAGAAATAGAACAATTAAGACAAGATATGGCTCCTGTTTCCACCCTTGGTTAGTTTTTATTTTCCACTGTCATGTTATTGTATGTCTATTCTCTATAAAATAAAATCACTTTTTATTATTTTTTTTTAAATCATTGCTGTGTACATTAATGCAATCATGGAGTACATGTGCAGGTTTTACATACAATTTGAAGTGCTTTCATCAAAGTGATCAACATAGCCTTCATGGCATTTTCTTAGTTATTGTTTTAAGACATTTACATTCTACACCTAGTAAATTTCACATGTACCCTTGTAAGATGCACCATAGGTGTGGTCCCATCAATTTCTCTCCTTCCACCCAATCTCCCCCCTCCTCTCCCTCTCCCCTCTCCCCTTCTTCTTGGGCTATAATTGGGTTATAGCTTTCATAAGAATGCTATAAATTGGTTTCACAGTAAGACTGAGTACATTGGATACTTTTTTTCCCATTCTTGAGATACAGTGCTATCTTTTCCTTTTTCTAGTGCGGTATGAAAATTCTACCATTCCATCTTCATGTTTGCAGCAAGCAATTTAAAAGTTATGTTTTCTAGTGATCCAGGAGAAATACTCATAATGAAATAATTTTCATTTGTAATTACAGACTTTTGATGGATAGACAGAGACTCTTTCCTGGAAAGTCAGGGGCAAAATACATTTTCTTAGATACTTGTAGTTTATGAATTCTTGTGTTTATGATAATGACTACATATTTTTAAAAACTACTAGTAGTACTTTCACTTCTATGACAATAACAACTATACCTTATAAAGGGTCGTGTCACTGCAAGGATTGTTCTGATGAACCAAGATGGGTGAACTATGATGAATGACTTCAAATTCTTCCGTAACCTATTTTGAAAAAACAAAGAACACATTACTCTTATCCTGTTTTCAGTAAAAATGAAAACAAAATATATCCCTAAATAAGAATACATATAATTTTAGAAAGTTTTAGGCATTCTATACCTGGAGGGAAGGTATAGAATGGCCAAAATTAATAAAAAGAATGTTTTTTGAGACATAATTTGAAACTTACGTGATTCAAATCTTACTTTCTTATAGAAATAAATATAAAATGGAATGGTCATGTTATTGAGTGCATGAATCTATAACCATACAGCATAGTTTATGTAATACATTTTATTTTTGCCAGTACTACTTTTACTACTTTGAAAAGAATACACCCTTAGTAGCAACTTAGACAACTAACTGCATCTTATTAACGCGTTGGTTTCTCCTTCTTTATGATGGGAATGGTGACAGTGCCTTCTGTGGTTGTTTGGCCTTCAATTTCCCATTTTAACAATTCTTAATTTTCAAACACAGTTTGCAGCATGTTACTTTCTGAAGGTTTGGAGCATAAAGTCGATTTAGTCAATGTAAGGGCACCTGCATGTTACTATGCAAGGAGCAACATTTAAGGGGATGCCACACACATATACATCTGTGTGTTTATTATGACAACTTTTCTATAGTTGGCAGTGAAGTGTTTTGCTGTGACAAACTTGAGGAAGGGGAACACAAAGGCACCGGATGAGTGAGTGGTTAACTTCATTTGACAGCGAATGTTGAGAAAAGAGCACAACCGTTGTCCAAATCACAATAGTCCTAGTGCACATCAATAGCAGCCGCGTCACAGGGTACCACTAGAGAATCATGGGTGTTTCGCTTTATCAGCTCAAGCTGCACCCTCACGTGGCAACAGCACACGCACAGCTTAAAACAGACCTGGTCTGCCAGGACTGACACTACATTTAACAAAATCTGGGGAGGATTGGCTTTGTTTAGATCTGGGGGTATCAAGTGACACTTTGTTGATAGTTCTGTAATTTATTGTTTCAAATATCCGTAAGTCAGTGATCCGAAAATGTGATGACATTTTTGGCAGACTATAAGGAAGTCAGCTATGGGAGCCACTGAGGAAGTCAAACCTACCGTCTATCAATCATCTGGTAACATTTCTTCATCCAGCCCAGCCCTGGCATCTTCCGTCTTGGGGTTGCACCATTCAAGTACACAATCATGTAGTCTTCAGCTACCATCAACTCTAAAGTGCTGATTACATATCTGATCCCAGGAAGGAAAAGGGGTGTTTTCAGTTCCAAGGTGAACTGTTTCATCCTATATATGCCATAATTATATAACATTTAAATTACAGGGTATACGACATTTAAGAATAGTTGTACATATTGCCATTTTACCTTGAGAAGAATATAGTTAGCTGAGATCATTTCTCTGAGAGTATCTAGTCATTTATTTGCACGGTTATTTTTTCTAATGCAGATATACTAGAAAAATGTGTGCATTAGAACTCTGACTTTCAAAAAATGTTAACGATGTCATGAGATACTCAGGACAACTCAGATTAAATAAGGACAGATAGGAATGAAGTCAGGTGGTAGTCAGTCTTAGCTGACCAAGAACATGTCACCAAGGTAGAAAAATAATAGTTCCCCTACAGGAGTGTTATAGAACTTTAAGATGCGAGCCACACTCTGTTTATCTTGTTTTCAATCTAGCCTACTGATGAAAGAACTCCTTTAAACGGTTTAGCCTCTTGAGCAATATTCCTTGACAGAAACCTTATTGACTTTCTATCAAAGGCTTAGACTATTCTACATCATCTGTTTCCTTTAACTGAAGATGCCTTATCTGCCATTGCATGCCCACAGACATTAACTCAAAGTACTTGGTCGTAAGTATCACTCACAGGAAAAGATTTTCCATGACATAGTGGTAATCCGCCCGACTGCTGTCTGGCAGAAAACAGGCAGCAAACACAATGATGGCATTTAGGCCGTCCCCATAGTATCCTGGGGGACAAACAAAAACACATTTGTAACAGACTGAAAGCTCTTAACAAGGAAATATCTAACCTCAAGGATAATCTGAAGCCTTGGCAAGTGTATATATGTGGAATAGCAGATACACCATGAAATGAGTATTATACTGACTATAGTATACACATATACACATATAATCATTATCTTTCAGTGGTAAGCATAGTCTTAAATATATAGTGTAAATATACTTGCATATGTAGGATATACATTTATTATGGATGATTATGTGTGTTGTATGTAGCAGTGGAAGGAGTGTATAAATAGTCAACTTTCAAAGGGTGAGAGGGCCAGACTTCACTTCTGAGTTTCCTAACCTATATAATACTCATTTTTATGATCGTTAACAAGGAGGCTGTTTGATCCTCTTTAACTCTTCTTAGTTTAGACCTTAGTTAATTTAAAGGGAGAATTTAGTTATTGAACTATAATATAATGTCAGACCTACACACTCCAGGGACCAGATACTAGTGAGCAGATGAGTGAGACACCTGCATTTCAATTTTGAGGCCTGCAGGGCCCCTGGCATCTCTGGACACAACAGGCAGCGTAGGGAGACATGGAAAGTTCTAGCCAGACCTGGAATGACTAAACACAGAATTCAGAATCTAGCCCCCTAAAGAAAGGAGAAAATTCAAGAAGGGTCTGGCTAAATTATCTCTGAGTTTTATGAAAACACATACTTCTGGGAAAACTGGAGAATTGCTTCCTGGTAACATGGGATTGGGAGGTGGGTGTGGAAATGCTATTTGCAAGTGGTGCTGAGGAAATAGGAGGTGGGAAACGTAGGCAAGTGTGGCCATTGAACCTCCGAGGGTCAAAGAAAATACAGATATGGCTCAAGAGATTACTCCAGTCTTTTGAAAGCTCTGGCATAATTTCGGCATTCCTCAGTGCTTTAAGCAACCTCCACGTTGCCTTGGAGCTCATCTCTGAAACTCATGGCAGATGTTGGTCAAATCCCCATAGGTTGGTGTATGGGATATCCGGCACCTCTCACACTTAAAAAGTCCAACAAGGTCTGTATTTTCTTTTTTTTGAAACAAAGCCTCAAGCTTTCGCCCTGGGTGGAATGTTGTGGCATCATAGCTCACAGCAACTTCCAACTCCTGGGTTTAAGCAATTCTCTTGCCTCAGACACCCAAACAGCTGGGACTACAGGAGCCCGGCACAACACCCGGCTATTTTTTGGTTGTAGGTAACATTGTTGTTTGGTAGGCCAGGGCTGGATTCGAACCCACCAGCTCTGTTGTATGTTGCTAGCGCCTTAGCCGCTTGAGCTACGGGCCCTGAGTCCAATGCCTGTATTTCCATCTTTTAAATATTCCTGTTTAAACACTTGTGATTTGTGTCATATAGTTCTGGACCCTGGAATCATTAGAGATTTCCTCAAAGCTTTGAGTAGGAGAAGACATAAACTTTAAGCCTGATCCAGTCCTCCCAGAACTCAGTGTTCATTTTTTTAGAGCTCTAAATACCCCGGTGGTGATTACACAGCAGTAAAACAGTGGCTGAATATAGATTTGGGTGGGGTTAACCTTTGAAAAGCAATTTAATAAGAGGTTTTCTACCAAGATCAAGAATGTGACACTACCGCAAAAAGGTAGGGAAAGAGACTGATACCAGTTAAAATTCTATTGAATTACGGGTTTGTATGTGTTACTAACTTGAGGCTGCTGGACACAGTGTTTACACTCCATATCTATCTATATAGAGACCCATGTGTGCACCTGATCCAATACTTCTTGGGAGTGTGCTGGAAGAGCATTGTTGTAGCTTCTTTCTGGACTATTTGCTTTAGTTCCATCTTTTCCAATATGTAGGTTCTTGTCAACTTCTTTTTAGAATGCAATATAAAGAAAAATGGCAGCAGGAGATATATTTTAATACAAGAAGTATTTGTTCCACACAACAATTATTTTTCAGAAGATTCTTTGCTAGATGGGAATCCATAATGCATATGGTGGCTTAGCTTTATTAATCCTCACACCACAAAGGTATGGAATTCATCCTCAGCACAATGAAAAGATGGACTTTATGAAAAGAGACAACAGACATGATAAATCCAACTTCACAACAAGTAAGACAGAATTCTTTCAGAAGCATCCTTCTGGGGAATGGGTGCAGAATCCCAGCACTTTGGGAGGCCTACAGGGAAGATCACTTCAGGCCAGGACTTCAAGATCATCCTGAACAACATAGCCAGATTTAGGCTATACAAAAAATAAAAAAAATTAGCTGGGCGTGATGGCAAGTGCCTATAGCCCTAGTGCTTGAAAGGCTGAGCCAGGAGGATCCCTTGGGGTCAGAAGATGGAGGCTGCAGTGAGCTGGGATCCAGCGACGGCATTCCAGCCTGGGTGAACCCCTGTCTCAAACAAACAAAAATCAAAAGCTTTCTTCTAAATGCAGCTGTCTGGCTCCAGGGTGTCAGTCTCATTTCAAGATTGTCACTGCTCGGTTAGTTTGGTTTCTTTTCTTATTTCTAGAGAATTTCTAAGATTTTTTTTTTTTTAATGGAAAGACTGAGGTTTATAAACAGCACTTCAGAAGTCATCGCCAGTGGCAATTCAGCTCATCGTGTAAATACTGTCTGTCCTTGGAACGTGGTAGTGCTGTGTTCACTTGAGGGATCAATTTAGGGATCAACTTAGTACTTCATGATCGCTGCCTAAGTAGGGAATGTCTCTTTATCTCAAAATTACTGAAATTCACAAATGAAAATGGCTCTTTGTACTTGTGGGTGGAGGAGCTGTAGAAAGGGAATAGGTGAGGGGAGGGGAGAAGACTAGGAAGAGAGGAGATGATATAAAAAAGGAGGCAGAAGAAAAAGATCTCCTGATGAAAGCTTTCCTTCTAAATCAAGAGCTGGTGGCACTGGGCCAAGCTTCAGAGCTATTCAAATAATAGCTAAGGAGGGCAAAGTAACAAGAGGGCATAGGGCCATTTGCTTTATGCACAGGGAGGTCCCTCCCAGATACTTTCCAGGGAATCGGTTAACCCCTGGATTCCTATCTAAAGTATGCAGGTGATGCAACTGAAGTTGGCAGAAGCATAATTCCTTTGAAATCTGGCCTTTAACACATTTCTTTTATTAAACTTTCTTCTCAGCAGGTGTGAAGTAGATCAGGGAGTGTGTGCTGGGGTGCTGAGCGACCCCACCGTGGAGACTCCTGACACCCTCTGAAGCAATGATGGCAAACCTTACCTGTGGCACCACAGACAGGCATGAAAGGGATGGAACACAAGTTTGCTGGCCAGCAAATGGAATGGAGAGAGGAAAGATGTCACAGGTGCAACCAAAACATACACACACACACACACACCAGCCAGCAACTCTTCTCCTCATTCTTTCCAGGATCATTGGTCCAGCAACACTGCAAAGAAGGTTACCTGAATCTCCTAGGATGAAATAAGAGAAGTAAAAAAAAAAAAAGAAAGGAAACTCCTTGTTAAAATTCTTTGGTATAACTGTCCTTAGTAATTTAAACGTGTTCTCTTCTTTTAATTAAAAAAATAAATAAATAAAGCTAGTTCTGACCCCACATGGTTGGCTGAGCAAAACCACCCATAGCCCTCTTTCCTTTTTTTAATTATGCAGATGGCAGGGAAGTTGCTTATGGGCACACATGGCATTGAGATCATGGTCATTGACTGATGAAGCAATCAAGGCCCAGAGAAGGTACGTGAGGTGCCAAGATCACAAACTAAGTGGCAAAAATGGACCACCCCTGCCCTCACCTTCGTCTACACTGCACACAGGGCCTCTGGCGATAGCTCACATCCAGGTCACCAAAGCTGAGAACTGAATGGTATGTTCAAACACTGCTCTCCAGGGCCCATGTTCCCAACTGGTGGGGCACTTGTCAGGGCCGGGCTTTGACTTCTACAACTCCTCTAATCATGCTCACCTTACAGACTACCACACAGAGCTGGGGCTTCCAGACTGACCTGAAAACTTCCTCAAGGCAAAACGCAAAGCACCAGAGCAAGAGTCACGTTTAGGGCAGAGGGACTGTTGTTTTTTAAATGCTCATCAGAAGCCAGGAGGCCAAACTCAGTGGGTGGGTAACTGAGGAGCTGCATCGTCTTTAAGGTCTAAGAGTGGTGTGAGCTTCCAACATGGCAGACAGAGCTCTGGCAAATCCATACATCTGAATGATCTGCCTACAGAGCACAAGAGCTGTTCAGGGTGTAGGAAAAGGCAGCATCTCGCTCAAGTGCTGGGTGGGGGCAGCCGGGGGTCCATGTGCAGGCCAGTGCCTAGAGAAGGCCAGCTGAGGCAGAGCTGGGGAGGGGAGAGGTGGCTTTCTCCTCAGAACAAACCAGTCACACAGACAAAAACCAAGGTCAAAACACACAGAGTGGAGAGGAGCCAATGTGAAGGGGGGAGGTGGCAGGGAGACAGAGCACAGCACAGCAAACCAGGTTAGCCCCGAGGTCCCAGGGCGATTTTTATAGAGCGGGACAGGCAGAGGCAGTGGCTTTCTCTAACCACCAGTGGGCTGGTACTCGACACTCTCCTGACTCAGGCAGCTGGCTGATGGGCTTAACTCACCCATTCAATCCACCTAATTTCACTGTGGTTGAGAGAACAAGTAAGCGCCCCTACTGAAGTGGTAAGAGAAATTCGGCTCCTGAGAGCAGCACAGACCGCGAGCCTGCTTTCTTCTCAACACAGGGGGCCTAAATTTAAGAGCTGATGGGTGAAATGTTTATAGGGATTATCTTTGGGTGACTTTGATTTACCTTGACAGACTTTTCTCTTTTTTTTTTTTTTGCTTGGTTTTGGTTTTTTACATTTTTAGAAAGGAGCATGGGCTGCTCTGATCGTCAGCCTTTGTTTTATTTAGTGCTTGATGGTTTTCAGAACAGCAAGTTTCAGGAAAAAAGAAAATACTGAGTGATGAGTGCTGTAAACACCAATAGTGTTCGGTTGTAGTTTTCATGTAAGGACAGAAGGGCTGACTCGGTGGCCAGCTGTCTGCCACTTTCAGCAAGACTAGGGGCTGCGGGGAAGCTTTCCTTTAGAGGAAGCTGCCCCTGGCCCGACTCTCACTGGGCTGTATTACCATCTGAGGTCAAATTATGAGGCTAGAAAAAGAAAGGTCACGACCGGAGACGTCTGCTGCCCTTCACATTCCCTGCCAAGCCAGGCTCCCTGGGTGGTCCTGACCCTCGAGTGGAGGTAGCAGGGCAGAGGATAGAAGGTGGGAAATCTGCTCGTAGAGGGTGTTTGACGGAAATAGCAAATGGTCCTTCTGCTCTTTAGGAAACAAAAGCTAAGGGTTTGATGCCGTGCCAAGACTCTCATTTCCCTGTCCTCATAAGGAAGAGGGAATTGAGAGAGTAACAATTGCCTTGTCAGCTTGCACTTTTTCTGGAACAGCTGGGCGGTTACAGCGGTGCCCGAGGACCTCGGGAAGGGAAGGCGTGCGTTCAGCAGGAAATTTGAAAGCTGTCAATGTGTCCTGTCCACGAGTTGCTTGAGCTTCTCTGACTTTCTGCGAATCTCAAATTAACAAAGGCCACATGTGCTCCCAGAGCCCCCAAGAGCTAACCTTAGCTAGAGAAAAGATTTACCTGGCTGAGCCTAAGAAGATTTCCTAAAGCTTCTGAAGAGGATTCAAAAGACCATACTGGACTTAGAAGCACCTCTGGGATAGTGACATTATTACAGACCATGGTTTTACACACTGCATTATTCAGTTTAACCCTATGATTGACTGGTAGGAATTCTGAACCTATTATTAAATTGGACAACTATGGCTCTCAAGAAATTTATGAGGAAGATTATAGCTGTCAGACATATGGCGTGAAAAGCAATTTTCACTTGGGAACGTTGTGTTTGCCAAGCCGGCTTTCACATGTTTATTGAATTGAGTATTCGGATATATGCTTAGCTCCATATTCCCCTGAACACTGACCGCAGGGCCTCTGAGATTCGTTTGGTATTATAATAAAAAACACGGCCACCTCCATCCCCATTTCCCGTATCCACACAGAGCTGGGCTACCTCCATGAGAAATGACTCTCCTGTAGGGCTCGATGACCTTCATGTCAATCCGCTGCTCCTGCTCGCCAATCACCACTGTCCTCCACAGCCGGTTGTCCTCTCGCTCCTCTTCGGCCGTATATTCTGGAATAGACTCTGACTCCTGGCCAGAATCTTTGTTGGCGGTGGGATCTTCTGGAAGGGAAGTACGCACAGAGCAGGGATGAAGGAGCAGCACCGCCACCATGGAGCAGTTAAATGACCAGACTGAAAGCTGCCTCCAGGCAGAGCAACCTGATGGCACTGCCTGTTTGGTATAGCTTCTATAGAGCCTCCCACCATCCTGACCACATAAGTTACACTCAGTCTTCATTACTAAGCCTTTTTCATAGGTGGACTGAACAACCATAAGGCCATGTTGAGTGGGAATAAGTGCAAGGCTAGTGCTGTCTTGCATGGCTAGTGATCCAATGGGACGTACACTGGTACTAACTCTTCCTTGATCATGCAGATTAAACCCCACAAGTTTTTCTCAGGAGGGGAAAGGCTGTTTAGGAAGCCCAGATGATCTTGATTTCCTTGGTCTACCTATCTTTTCAGTGCTCAGAGTCCTTTGAGGAGCTCAGCTTGGAATCATGATGATACTACCAGCCAAGACCCCAGCTTTGAGACTCTTACAACAGTATTGAATACTGTAGTGGGAACATACTTGAATATAACATTGATGTTACTTTTATGTATTGTTTCAAAAGATGCTACAGAGTGATTTTACAGGAAGTGAGTAACAAACAACTTTGAACACAACAAATGCTCCGGTGCTAAAAATCCACAAGACTCCTAAAATTGTGGGTATACAAAAGAATAAAAAACCCCACAGAGCTTTCCTCGGGGAGACATTAACCTTTGAAAAAGTAATCTTTCTTCCTTCTTTGTTCTAAAGAATAAGCAGCAATTGTTTCCACTTTCACTAAAAGGTTATTTTGGGAATGTTTAAGCAATTTGAAGGAAAAGATTATTGATGACCTTCACAATAATTCCGAGATATTATCATTCTTATTTCTCCAGCCTTGGCAATAGACCACTGAATTTACACTGCACTCTACTTGTATTCCTCCACTACTAATGAAAGCGATACTTTATTACACACCAGGCATAGTACTCGGTGTTAAAACAGACATTATACCAATGCAAAAACCGACTCTGCAGGAGTTTGCTTCAGATCACAGTCAGTAAGCAAATAAGTCAAAACTTCCACCCTTTTCAACACTTCTAAAGTATCACATTGCACCTTTAGCATGTGATTCTCCTTCTTACTTATTTTATTAAAAGGCTGCAAGTTTCCTGGGCTAGGAAGCTGTGCCTGAATCACATTTATTTATTTATTTAGACCGAGTCTCACTTTGTCACCCTCAGTAGAGTGCCATGGTGTCACAGCTCACAGCAACCTCAAACTCTTGGGCTCATGTGATTCTCTTGCCTCAGCCTCCCAAGTAACTGGGACTACAGGTGTCTGCCACAGTGCTTGGCCATTTTTAGAGACAGGGTCTCAGGCAATCAGCTCACCTCAGCCTCCCAGAGTGCTGGGATTACAGGCACGAGCCACCATGCCTGGCCCTGAATTGCCTTTAATATTCACTTTCACCCACCCATTCCCAACCTACTTGGGACACTCAATAAAAATTGGGTGGGTGGATAAATTAGGAAAGCTTGGATAGGCTCCTGGAAGTACAGGTAATCTGTAAAGAAGCCACAACAATGTTGTAATATTCTGGAAGATCCTGCTATTATACATCTAAAAGTGACTAATAGAAAAATGAGGTTTAGCTGGGAAGCAATCCTAGCCTTTTTGCCAACACCAACAGCTACTACTACTGCCCACAGAGCCTTGGCTCCCTCCTGCTTCCACTGTGCTCCCACCAGCACTTGGCAGCTTATTAAGGACAGAAAGCAGAAACTTTTGGCTTTGGATGGAGCACTGTGTCCCTTGTGCAAATCCATCCATCTGTCTGGAATCTCTTCCTGCTTCTTCCTTTTTATGTAGGTTAGATCTTTGGATGGTAGCACTGGCTCCCTTCCTGGGCCCCCGTTTCTCCTCTGGTCTCCGCTCCCTCAGAACTTGGGGCCCTGAGGTGGGTTTGTCTTCTAAGACTCCTATACACAGATGTCCTTCCCTGCCATGAAAGTTCCACCTGCCCAACCCTTATGTGTGGCACTTCCTGGGCTGCTCCAGCTTGACCGTGGTGAACTCTTTGGGATAGGGATGAGTTGTTTTGTTTTCCACACACTTTTATTGAAGTTGCTTCATTAAAAATGTTTTGTATACTACATTCTTTACTCTGGTTATAAAAGGTGAACAGACACCACATAAATATAGTCAAGTGATCTTTGAGAAAGGACGTGCCAAAACAATGGAGCAAAGATAGTCTTTTCAATAAATGGGCCTAGAGCAAATGACTATTCACATTAAAAAAAAAAAAAGAATCTAGACCCAAATCTTAGATCCTTCATTTTAATTAACTCAAAATGGATCACAGACCTACATGTAAAATACAAAATTATAAAACCCTAGAGGATAACAAAAGAGAAAACCTAACTGACCGTGGATTATGGAGGTAACTTTTGAGATACACCACCAAAGGCACAATCCATGAAAGAAAAAATTGATAAGCTGGATTTAATTAAAATTAAAACTTTCTGCTCTGTGAATGGCAATGTCCACAGACTAGAAGAAAATATTTGCAAAACACGCATCTGATAAAGGATGGCTATCCAAAATACACAGAGAATGCAGAAAACTCAACTATTAGAAAACGAGCAACTCAATTATAAAATGGGCAAAAGTCCTAAACAGATACCTCACCAGAGAAGATATGAAGATGGCAAGTAAGTAGATAAAAAGATTATAAACATCATCTGGGAGGCCAAGGGAGCGGGATTGCTTGAACTCAGGAGTTCGAGACCAGCCTGAGCAAGAGAGAGACTTCATCTCCAAAAATAGCTGCGTACTGTGGCAAGTGCCTATAGTCCCAGCTACTTGGGAGGCTGAGGCAAGAGGATCACTGGAGCCCAAGAGTTCGAGGTTGCTGTGACCTGTGATGCCATGGCACTCTACCAAGGGGGAACAAAGTAATACTATGTCTTAAAAAAAAAAAAAGTACACAGGCTAAAATTTTTTATCTTTTTTCCACATCCCTTATGAAATACCTTTGTTATCCTCTGAATAATGGTAAAAATAACTTTGTTGTTGGTTTGGAAAACAGAATTCAGTCATCATTTTTTCTGACCATTTTATATTTTTAAGTTTCTAGGATTAGTAAATTCTTTAGCACTAAAGAAGAAAAAACTCAGACCTCTCTCAGTATTGGAAGATTGACCTAAGTTTTTTACTATCTGTACATTTTGTAAATATCAAAGGAAACTGAACCTTAAATATGTCAGGATCTTAAATTATATTTCCCAACTGTTTAGACACAATTAGTTAAAAGAAAAATGGCTCGGAAGTGAAGACCATCTCAACATCCTTTGAGAGTTGGGATTCATAAATTTTCCATAAGCAAACTCGCATTGTAGGCAAAAACCCTGGCAGAGGGGTCTGATTATCAGCCACTGAAGAAAACAGACATATAGTATGAAAGAACCTCAGGTACTTGGTAAAGGAGGAGTCTTCAAATTATGAAAATAGCTAGATAAAAGGAATTATAAAAGTGAGGATGGACTGCCATGCTCACCTTCATGGATATAAGCTCATGTTAGCAAAAGGCCCTCTCTATTCACTGCCAGTATATTCATGGGAAGCAGCAGGGATTAGAGGTCCAGGATGACAACCCTGGGTTTGAATGCTGGCTCTGCTGTGTGCTCACAGGCAAATTCATTACCCTTTCTGTGCCTCAGTGTTCTCATCTATAAAATGGGAGGAAACATAATAGCTATTTTATAGAGTTGACCTGAGAACTAAAATAGTTAACATTTACAACGTACCTACAACAGGTTCTGACGCATAGTAAGCACTGTGTTCATTAAAATTCCTGACCAAATGTTTTTGAAAAACTGTACCTTAAAAACTCCAATTTTGTTTAGAATGTAGGTATATGTCTAGTTCAAAATGCTCTCATAAGAACCCCTTAAAACACGCAGTCTGTAAGCATTTGTTTCACACTTCAGGACTACAACGTATTTATAATCCAACCCTCTTTTCAGTCAGTTATTTATGTCTGCATGTTTATAAAATATAGCTATTTAGATATACTTTGTGTTCTCAATGCTTCTCAATTTTGTTTAAAACTATCTAAACTTACACTTTTCTTTCTTTCTTTCTTTTTTTTTTAGAGACAGAGTCTTATTTTGTCGCCCTTGATAGAGTGCTGTGGTGTCACAGCTCATAGCAACCTTCAACACCTGGGCTTAGGCAATTCTCTTGCCTCAGCCTCCCGAGTAGTTGGGACTACAGGCACCCACCACAATGCCCAGCTATTTTTTGTTGCAGTTTGGCGGGGGCCAGGTTCAAACTCACCACTCTCAGTATATGGGGCCGGCCCCTACTCACTGAGCCACAGGCGCCGCCCTAAACCTACACCTTTCATTTGAAAATCAAAGTGGATTTTAAAATTCAACTTACTTTAGGATTCTGTGCTTTGAGTTTAAGACCTAAAAGTAGGGCTGTGGCCACTAAACTGGTTTCTTCAACAGAACTATGTCAACTAAACAAAAAGAACTACGCCTGCAAGCGGCAGCTTTAATTACCAGTTTGCTTAGCCACCACCACTTTGCTTGACGGTTTTACTATTTATAAAAATAAAAAGTTCAGATGTGGTGTGATAAAGCTTTCCCTGCAACAGGGAAGTGAGGGGGGAGGAGAGGGAGGGACCCGCAAGGTCACGCCACAGCTGCCTTCTGCAGGATTTTGACAATATATTAGCAGGAAGGAGCAGGAGCTGCTGGGGCAGCTGGCATGGGAGGAGCTGCTGAAGACTCTTTGGGATGACAGGAAAGAATACAAATTCCAGAGCTTCTTTTACTTCCTATTTGTGTATTTCAATCTACAGGACCAAATACCTGGATGACTATAGAAATTCATGAACACGATAAAAATGCAATATAAAATCTCTCCTCACACGTAATAGATTATGGAACAAGTGGTTTAGCCACTTCTCTCTCCTCCCTCCTCCCTTTTTTTTTTAATTTGAGGAAATAAAGCCTTACTCTCCGTGAAGCAGGGTCTGAATCTGCACTAGTCAAAGTTGCAGCTCCCCCTGGCTCAGGGACCATTGGTTGAATTAATGAGCTAATCTGATGAACTTCCTGATTTTCTAATTACATTTTATGAGTAGAGCTTCTGGAATTAGCATGACTCTAAAAGTCAGGGCATTGTTGTGCAATTGTACTGCTTTTGAAGACTAGATGAATTTTTACAACAAATGAACCTACTATCAAATATTGTAATCCAGAGAAAGCTCCCTTGGTGCCGACTGAAACAGAAACTATATGATGCCATTTTTCAAAACAAATGTGCAAAATTTATGCCTAACAAAACAAATTCTACTGGGTAAGAGAACAAATTAAAATGAGGCTAATGTTTACATTAGGAGTCTCTCTCTTGAATCTGGTAACTTGTAATTTTCTTCCTTTTTATCCTCATACTCCACCTATTCCAGCCCTTTTTTTTCCTACTTTCTCAGAAATGTAGCATCAAACATAATGAAGTTCTTATGGAGCATACCGTGTTTCCCCCCAAATAAGATACTGTCTTATATTTATTTTTTCTCAAGAAGACATACAAGGGCTTATTTTCAGGGGATGCCTTCCTCTCTGTGCTGAAATGCATAGCGTGGCTATGCAGCGTATCTGCATAGCCACGCCCATCACTAGGGCTTATTATCAGGGTAGGGCTTATATTTAACAAATGTATAGAAATCCTGCTAGGGCTTATTTAGGTCTTATTTTTGGGGAAACACGGTACATGCCAGTGGGGAGAGAAAGACTATAAACAAACAAGCAAACAGTTGAATAACACGATTTCATTAGTGCTCCATGGAAACTAAAATGACTACTGGGATGGAGAGAGACTAGATGAGGGAAGGTAGACAGCATCTTTGATTGCAGAAGTCAAGGAAGGCCCCTCTGAGGAGGTTATATCAGAATAAGGTCTGAACATAGAGGAGCCAGTCATGAAAGGCTCTGAGGGTAAGAACACTCCAGACACTGGGAGCTTGTACAAGAAACTGGCAAGCCCTGATCACTTCTTTTCAAATTTTATCTTCCAGATTACATTTTCTTTCTGCAGAAACCAGTCCCAGTTTTCTTACAACAGAGCATGTGACAGCCTTCCCTCACCCCTTCTTCCTAGCACAGGCCTGGCACAGAGTAGGGGTGTGGAGAAAGAGCCATGGTTTATTAGCATTCCCCAACCTTTTTGGCACCAGGGACTGGTCTCACGGAAGACAATTTTTCCATGAATGGAGTGGAGGGGCGTTAGATTCTCATAAGGAGTACACAATCCACATCCCTTGTGTGCTCTGTTTACAGTAAGGTTACACTCCTATGAGAATATAATGCCGCTGCTGGTGGGATGAGAAGTGGAGCTCAGGTGGTGATGTGAGCAATGAGGAACAGCTGTAAACACAGATGAAGCTTTTCTGACTTGCCCACTGCTCACTCCTGCTGTGTGACCTAGTTCTTAAAAGGGTATGGACTGGTAATGGTTGGGGATTGCAGCTATATATGACCTCTGAACTATACTTGCTCCATCAAACTCTAAACTTATGGCCACCTATGACCTGAGATACAAACAGAAGCTTCCAGAAATCACAGGAAGTATCCACTGGTACAAAAATGGGAGGTTTGTTCTTAAAACCACTGGGATAATCATTCACGTATGACTTCACTTTGGCCTTGCCAAATTAGCGACTTACCATGGCCAGTGTAGTCAAAAGAATCTGCTTCATCAGGGGTGTCCAGCTCATCCACGTTGATGTCAATTTCATCGGGACTGTCCAGGTTATCATCAGAGAGGATAGATCCTTCACTCTGGTCCAGAGAAAGATTGATATTTGGGGCTGTGAGCTTGATTCGCCGAGGATGACTGCCATTAAGATCCAGAGAATTAGGAGGTTCTAAATGAGAAAAAGAACAGCAACATCCAGTATTAGACCAAAGGTTGAGTATCCTAAATCTGATAATCCCAAGTGCTCCAAAATCTGAAATTTTTGAATAACAACATGATGCTGAAAGAAAATCTTCATTGGGCATTTCAGATTTCAGAGTTTCAAATTTGGGATATTCAACCAGTATGAATATCCCAAAAACTTGAAAAAAATCCAAAATCAAAAACCAAAATCCTTCTCATCCCAAGCATTGCAGATAAGGGATACTCAATCTGCATATATATCACTGCCAAGGGTGGGTTTGGGCTCCCGTGAAAAATATTCTTAAGACCCTTTCAGCAAAAGCAGACCCACCAAAAAAAGTCTTTATATGGGATTCAGGCCTTTCTTGCCAGCAGGCCTCAGTGCTGCCTCCCGCAGGCCCCATCAGTCATGGCCATGTGCAAACAGGAAATGGGAACTATTGCTTAAATGGGTAGAAAATAAGTTCTTAGAACTTCCCTGTTCAGGTTTGAGAACCTGACATTGCTATAACACTGAGTTGAATTTTTATGAGGTATATTGCACAAGAATAGCAGTTAAGCTTACATATACAGTAGTCCCTCAGTATCAGTGGGTGTCGGGTTCGAAAATATCCCTCCCCACCTCCACCACAAATACCAAAATTCGAGGACATTCAGGTTCCTGATGTAAAATGGTATAGTGTTTGCATATAACCCAGGCACTGCAATGTCAATGCTATATAAAATATTATACCATGTTGTTTAGGGAATAACAACAAGAAAAGCAAATCTGTACATGTTTAGTACAGATAAAATTTAAAAATATATATTTTCAATTTGCAGTTGCTTGAATCGATGGATGCAGGAACTATGGATACGAAGGGCTGACTGTATTTTCTAATGGTTCATCTTGACTTTGCTCCTCTGGAATGGAGGTTAAGAAATTGGTCATGTTCATAGACACTCCCCAAATTCTTCTCTTCTGGTCCTGACAACTCTGTAGATGATCTTTAGTGAACTTCTCTTGCCTGTCCTGCTAGTATTTTGGGGTTTGATTTTTTTTTTTTTTAAATAAAATCTAAAGTATCCTCCCAGGTCACATTCTTTGAACCCACACAAGTAGTGCCAATATTGCTTGACACTGGTTCCTGTAACATAGTGGTGACCCTGCCAAGGTCAGGCCCTGCCCTACTGTGGTGTGGATCTTGTGGCTCAAGGGCCTTTTCTTTTGTTTAATAGCAGAGCTGGTGAAGTCACTTTTAATCATGTTTATTCCAACTAAATAAGAGTGGAGAGATGACCTAATACAGTACAATAAGAAATATGATTGGTCTTTAGCCCTGGTTCAGGGAACTGAGCTCCTAAAACCCTTGGAATCTCCTGAGATAGACAGTGTCAGAAGGGAACTAAATTACAGGACCCTCCGTTGGTGTCCACTAGAGAATTGGTGTGTGAGGAAAAGCCCCTATATATTCGTCATAGGAGTGTTCTGTGTGAGAAAACAGTTTGTTGTCCTTATTCAAAAACGGAAATGATAGGATTCTCCACCACAAAGTATTTTGAAGGTCATCTGGTATAGTCCTCAACTCTGGAATTCCAACTCTGGCCTTGTCCTAAGGAAATTGTCATTGTTCTTTTGTCATTAAGATTTTTCTTTTCTGTGTGGAACATTACCCAAATTGAGTTCCACATAATGTTTTTATGTATTATCTGGGAAAAACACCAAAAACCAAAATACCTTTCTATTGATCCATAAGCTTGAAAGACATGAGGTTTCTATATTACAGGAATTCTCAGAGCAGTGATACCCAAAACACATTTCTTGTGAAGATGGAAATGTACTTACGGCCATTGAACACTTGAAAGATGGCTGATGCTACCAAAGAACAGAATTTTTAAAATTTATTTTTAGTTTTAATGAACTTGAACAGCCACATGTGGCTAGCTGCTTACCAGATAAAATAACCATAGCCTTACTGCTTTTACTGTTTGAAAGTGCTTATGAACTTGAAGATTGGGATAGACATACAGTTATCATGGTGCCTATTTGGTCAGAGAACAGTTAAGAATAATTATGTTACATGACTAGTACTTTATTTTATTTTTTTGAGACAGAGCCCCACTCTGTAGCCCTGGGTAGAGTGCCTTGGCATCATAGTTCATAGCAACCTCAAACTCCTGGGCTCAAGCAATCCTCTTGCCTCAGCCTCTGGAGTAGCTAGGACTACAGGTGCCCACCACAACGCCTGGCTGATTTTCTATTTTAGTAGAGACGGGGGTCTCACTCTTGCTCAGAATGGTCTTGAACTCCTGAGCTCAAGTGATCCACCCACCTTGGCCTCCCAGAGTGCTAGGATTACAGGTGTGAGCCACAGCGCCCAGCCACAAGACTAGAATTTTAAAGAATGCATTTTAAATACTAGAACAGAAAACAAATGTAATTGCCTTCATTCTTCCTACCCCATTCTAGGCGTGGCTGAGAATGCCATGATTCAGGATGTTGGTAGGATACGGGACTTGGTGCAGTGCAAGAGAGTGACCTGCTAATAAAGTGAGAGGTGTGTAGGTTGCAAGTGAAATTAAAAAACTACTTTTTTGTGCATGTCTTGGATTATAAACTCTTCCAGGGTGGGTTTTTGTTGTTGTTTTTTATTGTTAAGGTACTGAACATTCTTGATGATCACATTTCCAATTTTAAACATTCTCACAATTGTACGTAAATTTGTGAAGTCAGCCACTGGTCAGGATTTGGTATTACAATACACGGTGGCCAATTATCATAGGAGCTAAAAACATTGGCAGATAAGGCTGTGTGGTCCAGGAGATAACTGTGGCCCACGCGGGTGAGCATCAGTATTCAAGCCAACTCTAAAATTAACCCAGTGCAGCCTAACACCTTCCTCTCACACATTTATTCCCCCTCATCACTTTTATCACGGCAATCACAAGGTGGATGCAGAGGAAAGAGTTCTCTCACTGCATAATGATCGTGTTTAGATATAGAATATCACTGACGGAAATGAACTGATGTTCCCCTTACCAGGCCTCATGTCTGCAGCACCAGGACTCAGCATTCCCTCCTCAAAGGCGATGTCCATTCCTACATCCTCTGATGATAGTCTGGGAACAAAGCAAAGCAAAGAGTGTAAAAATATTGTGTGGGACCTCCTTTTTTTTTTTTTTTTCCAAAAAGAAACCCACAAATTCCAGGGTCACAATTTCAACTCACTTGAAATAAACGATGTGTGTGTACTGACAGATCCACTACAAGTGGCCCCAAATTAGAACAAAGACTTTCTGTAGTACCATGAATGAGAATCACACACACCAGTTCCACTTACTTAAGTCAAGTCACTCCTCCTGCAGGTTCATAGAAGTAAACACATGCCAAGTAGAAAATTCAGAAATAGCAAACACAAACAAGTAGTAAAATATAATTTGGGGGACACTGAGTATTTTTTTTTTCAATGAGAGTGTCAATATATGTGCTGCAAAGACAGACTTGAGTCTATATTTCTCTCTTGCCCTCTGTACACATAAATCTGAGCATCTTAAATCTTAACTTGCCATGGGCAGAGGAAGGCATACTCTGCTGATCTCACTTTATTATATGTAAACTAGGGATATACCACCTGCCTCACTGAGTTGTGGAAAGATTAAGCTATCAAAGTAACATGCCTAAAATTCCTGAGCAGGCATGCACTGATGCTATTTTTGGTCTTTTTCTTTTGAACATGTAAAGATTCATTGTGGATATACATAGGTGAAGATAGTTCTGGCGATGACTTACCATCTCTTGTCGCTAATCAACGTTAAGCCCAAGACCATTTATATTAACCCATTCAAAAAAAGCATAGCTAAATAGGAAAATAGCAAAGAAAATTGTGACAAACCTATATTCTCTTCTAGGAAGCTGACCAAGTGTTCACAGTGAATTATCTTATTTTCATGCCCTGGCCCTTGTTGGGTAAATCCCCTTCTACCATGATAATTTACTTTTCTTCTTGGTAGCTTCTATGTAATTTTGCTCATCTAGGGTGAATCTTGATGTAGGAACTAATCTAAATTGAAACATAATGAACATTTACATCAAAGTTCTAAATTTAGTTTGTCTTTCCCTCTCTTACTGAGACTTTCATCCGCGTCAGTCTGGGTCTACCAAACATTTGGAGTTTGATCAATTTCTCCAGGATCCAAGTCAAATCCCCTCCTGCCAATAAAGCACTATGATGAAAAAAAAATTCTATTCCTCTAGAAATAACTGCATTTGCTTCATTTACTCAACAAACATATTGAGTGTCTACTGAATGTAGAGGCTATAGGCAGTGTTTTTCAACCTTTATTTTTTTTAATCTCATGGCACACTTGAACCTATAGTTAAACTTCCATGGCATACTTAAATTATGTTGATACTGTCCTTTGAACTTCTTTAGAAAATTAGTTAATAAATAATCTTTTAAAAAAATTGCTACAGAGGGAGCAAGATGGCAGCTGAGTACTTTGCAGCCAGGAGCAGTGAGATTGGGGAGAGAGGACTCCAGGCATCTCTGGCTTGTGGCTCTGCCCAGAAACATCCCTTGGGGGGATGCAGGGAGACAGCAAGAGACTTCTGGACCCCAGGAGGAGGACAAAAGCAGAGGAGAAGTGGCAAGTGGTTGCCATTGGTCTGAGGCTGCCACAGCTGTAACTACAATAGCAATGAGATTGCAGACAGGGAAGGCCTTTCCTGTGGGTTTTTTTTTTTTTTTTGGACTTGGGCAACAGTGTGGGTGACTTTAAGCGTTGCCCAGGGTTTGGGACTGAGCTGCTAGGCCAGAATGGAGCTAACATTGTTCAGCTGTGGGCCACCTGCCAAAGCCAGTGTTGGAGAACTGCTCCTGCAGGCTCCACCCTCAGGGTCGCAGAGTGAGGGTTGGGCTGGGAGAATGGTCTAGCAACTGTGAGCAGCACCAAAGGCCAGGACTGTGATGGTGGGGAAGAGCAGAGCTTTCAGTGTTTGGCAGTGGGAGGGCTGTGTTTCAACCTGGGCCCTCAGGGGCATAGAGTGAGGCTGGTTTTGGCACACCAGATAAGCAGACAGCCACTTCAGGAGAGATCCCAGTGACAAGTACTTTCCTGGGAAAGCTTCTGCTTAGCCAAGGTTAATGGTTTAAAGTGTTTTGTTTAAGTGGGCTGAGGAGAGATTCAGGCTCTCAACCCTGCAGGGTTTGAGGGCAAAGAAATCAGCAGAGGCCTCCAATCTCCATCCCATACAGCCGTATCAGCATTGTGATTAGCATCTCATACCCCAGAAGATAACCTGTTGCCCAGACGACATTCAGCAAGATATATATACTGCTTTGGGTTTGCTTTTTTTTAAATTTCAGCATTTTTTCCGTAGATTTTTTCTTTTTTTCCTTTTCTTTCTTCATTTTTCTAGTTTATATAATTTTATATAATTTTCTAGTTTATATAATTTTATATAATTTTCCATTGTTGCCTTCTTTAATAATAAGAACTGTATTCTTGCTAGTGTTTCTGCCTCTCTTATTTGGTTTTTCTTCCAATTTTATCCTGTAAGGTTTTCTGTTTGTTTGTTTTGGTTTGATTTATAGTATTTTTGTCTCTCCTCTCTATTTAGTGGAGGTGGGGTACTGTATCTGCTCAGACTGGCAAAGAGAACCACTCAACCCAGCAGCCCCAGAGTTTGGGGGGGTTGAAGGTGTGGGTCAAAGTACCCTACTGTACACCTTTATTACTCCTGTCTCCCTCTATCTGTGCCTCTCTTCTTTTGTCAATATTCCCTTTTACTCACCCCCTCTCCTTTTTCATTTTTCTTTTCTTAAATTTTTTATTCCCTTCTTGCTCTTCAATCTCCTCATCCTTTTAGTCATGTACCAAAACCTTAGGCCAGAGGCACAGTAACTAAAGAGCAAGAGGAAGTGAAAGGAAAATTAGGGCAAGGAATCAGATAAAAGAAAATGCTCATAAGGAAGAATCAGCAGAAAAATCCTGGCAACATGAAAAATCAGTCCAGAGCAACCCCCGCAAGGAACAGTGAGGTAGTTACTACAGAGGATTCCACCTGTAAAGACATGTTAGAAATGACAGAAGGGGAATTTAAAATACAGATGATGAAAACAATGAAGGAAATTGCTGAGAAAGTGGAAAATAACCAAAAGGAAATCCAAAAACAGAATCAAATAAGAGATGAACAATATAAAGAATTTAGAAAGGATATAGCAGAGCTGAAGGAATTGAAGCAGTCAATTAAGGAACTTAAAGATGCAATAGAAAGTATCAACAACAGATTAGACCATGCAGAAGAAAATCTCAGAGGTAGAGGACAAAGCTCTTGAGATAGCTCAGTTAAAATGGCAGAAAAAAAGAGAGAAAGCAGAGCGTTCACTGATAGAGTTATGGGAGTTATAGGTATCTCAGAAGGGGAAGAAGAATGCCCCAGAGGAATGGAAGCAATACTAGAGAATATTATAAATAAAAATTTCCCAAATATCATCAAAGATTCTGACACACTCCTTTCAGAGAGATATTAGACCCCAGGTCACCTCAACTGAAATAGAGCTTCTCCAAGACACATTGTGATGAGCTGTCCAAAGTCAAGATAAAAGAAAAGATTTTGCAAGCTGCCAGGAGTAAGCACCAATTGACCTACAGGAGTAAATCCATCAGGGTGACTGCAGACTTCTCTAATGAAACTTTTCAAGCTAGAAGACAATGGTCATCTACCTTTAATCTACTTAAACAAAACAATTTCCAGCCCAGAATTTTATATCCTGATAAGCTAAGCTTTAAAATTGACACAGAAATCAAATCTTTTACTGATATGCAAACATTGAGGAAATTTGCCATAACAAGACCAGCTCTACGGAAATACTTGAACCTGTTCTACACACTGACCATCACAATGCACCACCAGCAAAGTAAACACTCAGCAATTAAAGAACAGAACCTAATTTCCACAATGATGCAAAAGATAAAACTAAGTAACAGACTTTCACAAAATAAGATGAATAGAATGATATCACACTTACCAATTATCTCAATAAATGGCTTAATTCCCCCTAAAGTGGTTTAATGGCTTAATTCCCCCTCAATGGCTTAATTCCCCCTCAATAAGTGGCTTAATTCCCCCTAAAGAGGCATAGACTGGCTGATTGAATTAAAAAACATAAGCCATCCATTTGCTGTCTGCAGGAAACACACCTAGCTTCAAAAGACAAATTAAAACTCAGAGTTAAGGATTAGAAGACAATTATTCAGGCAAACAGAATTCAGAAAAAAAAAGAGGGGTTGCAATCTTATTTTCAGATACAAGTGGATTTAAACCAACTACATTCAAAAAGACAAAGATGGACACTTCATATTGGTCAAGGGAAAAATGCAAGAAGAAGACATTTCAATTCTAAATATTTATGCACCCAACTTCAATGCTCCCAGATTCTTTTTTTTTCGCAGTTTTTGGCTGGGGCTGGGTTTGAACCCTCCAACTCCAGCATATGGAGCCAGTGCCTTACTCCTTTGAGCCACAGGCGCTGCCCCTGCTCCCAGATTCTTGAAACAGACCTTAATTATTCTGAACAATATGATATCCTATAACACCATAATAACAGGGGACTTTAATACTCCTCTTACTAAGCTGAACAGATCCTCTAAACAGAAATTAAGCAAAGATATAAGGGACTTAAATGAGACCCTAGAACAACTGTGCTTGACAGATGTAGATAGAACACTTCATTCCAAAGCGAAAGAATATACATTCCTCTCATTGCCTCATGGCACATTCTCTAAAATTGATCATATCCTAGGACACAAAACAAACCTCAACAGAATCAAAAGAACTGAAATTTTACCTTGTATCTTCTCAGACCACAAGGCATTAAAGGTGGAACTCAACTTCAACAAAAACATTCAATCCCACACAAAGGTATGGAAATGAAACAACCTTATGACAGTTAGGTGCAGGAAGAAATAAAAGAGGAAATCATTAACTTCCTTGACATAACAACAATGAAGACACAAGCTACCAAAAACTGTGGGATACAGCAAAAGCAGTCCTGAGAGGAAAATGTATCTGTTTAGATGACTATAGCTGAAAAACAGAAAGAGAGAGCATCAACAAA